TGAAGTCCTATAGGAACAAGTTGGGGAAACTATGTTATCACAAATGATTATGAGGTACTGTACCCCCCTGTAACTGGCTTCAATGTCCTGAAGTCTACAACTGATTCTGTTTCCTACATACAGTATCAATGGTTGCTCTGCTATAGACACATTCAATTACTCTGGGGTATTATGATCATGAGGGTATTGTTTAGAATGGTCTCAGTGGATCTTTAGTGAACAAGTTCTGAATGTTTGTGTGTGATGCAAATATTAAAACATCAAGCTATTGAAGTGGTTGCTAACATTGAACTTGTTATAACCGACTGCTATAATGCTTTACAACTTGTTATAAGCATGTATGAGCCTTTATAATGTATTCTTATAAAGCTTGTATCTTTCCAGGACATTGCTTTTTATATCATTTCTGAGAAAGTAATTCCAATGTTTAAACAAAAACAAACTGTCATTTTACTATGTGTAATCTCATTGAGTAGATAGATGTGTGTGTGTAAGTGTTTTGAGATAGATGTGTGTGTGTAAGTGTTTTGACTGGGCGTCTGTTGACTACAATACTCCATGGGAAAGTGTGGTGGTTTACTGTACTCAAGCTGTTCTCATAATCACAGACATTTAATTTGGTCAAATGGATGAGATATGTGTGTAGGTAATGTCTCCCAAGAGTGCTGCATGGTTTTTAGATATGTGCAGCTGTGCATCGATTCGTTTTAACAAAGCTGTCTCACTTAATTTCTTTGACAGCGTTTAATCATCGTAATGCATTGTGGGAAATTACTTATTTGGTCACTATGTGGCTATTTTTGGTTGTAAGCAATATCATGATATTGTTATGTGTGTGGTAAGTAGGTGTGCCACACTAAAATGCCTATTCTAAAATAAAATAAATGTATCTTCAAAAATGTTTTGTAAGCCTATCAAAAGTCCATGAAGTCAGGATTAGTAAATACTAATGGTATAGTAATAATGTCAGTAGAGGATGGAAATGCTTGGCGCATGACAGCATGTAAACCAAAACCAAATGGTGATTACCTATGGTAACATCCATGTTTGATCCAACCAGTGAATCGAATCATGATTGGAATGTATTCAATGGCAATGTAGCCTTTCTTTAATGTGAGGTGCAGTATTTCGAATGCTACAATGATAATGATGAAGTATAAGCAGTGACTGCATAATAGCAGATGACAATGTTGCACTGAAATGTAGGCTCCTGTATTTAGGCCTACTACTAATGGTGTCTATGTGAATGTGATTGTCTTCTTGAGTAATTGCACACAAAGAGACTAGAGTAGCCTAGCCTATGTGCCAGATTATCGATAATCACACGATTGCCCGTCACAAAGCAAGGGATGTGAGCGCGGTCAACAATGGAATGTTTTTCAGTTGTTTGTAGTTTGGAGACTGTTTTGTTATTTTGGACGTCCGCAATTTATTTTGCGTAAAACTAAAAATGGGTCAAATAAAATATGAATGAAATAACCCTTTTAGGGTCTAGATAGCACCTTTTTGTCTAAGAGCATACATGAGACCTGAGGGTTCCCTCCAAATCAGCACCCTCTCACTCACCCCCGTCATTGTCTTCATTCCATCAACACAAAGGATTTTCCTTAATTTGTAAATAAATGCAATGGAAAAAGGACTACAACATGTGGCAATATATTTGACATTTTGCTTTATACATCACTAAATAACACTAGTTTCGGTGGTGTCGAGGCGTGCTACATCAAGATGATAATCAACCTGCCATCCTTTCCCTTTCTTGGTGCTACCCCAGTGTGGGTATAAGGATAAACTGGATTCACACATTCGAGATAATCCCTCATCTTTTACTTACCTCCCGTGTTTGTGCGTTTAGTGCTGCTAGCCTCGGTTGGGGTCTCCAGGGGTCTTTTACGCGAATCGGGAGGATCCGACTCCATGTGCGGCTGTTGATTGTGATGGTGAGGATTCAAGAAAATCCCGTTTTGCTGTACTGCCCCGCCGGCCATCATTTTTAAAGTAGGTTGGGTGAAACTGCGTTTATCCCTTTATGCAACGTAACCAATTGAAAAAATAGTATTTGAATAGACGAAGCGATTCAGAAATCGAAAATGCCTATATTCTTGAGAATGAAATAACTTGCGCGTTATCCTCGCCTTTTCAGAGAACACGGAGATGCTACGCAGAGTATAGGGGCTATTTGTTCTAATCGAGGAAGACGATGCTTGCGCTGCGTATGGAACGTAACCTCAACAAAAATACAATGAACGGATAAATGATGTCCCGCTCCTGATACTATAAACGTGTTATAGAAAGTAGGCTAATTTAATCTTCCATTAATTTCTTCATATGTGGGTTATTTAATTCCACTGCAATAAAGCGCATATTCCTATCAAGAAATGCAGAACGATGGCGCTCCTCTCTGTATTGCAGCTAGGCAATGGTCAACAAAATAAAATATCAAAACAAAAATATACAGACGACAAAGAGGTTTAAATAAATAAAGGGAAAGGAAAGGCGGTGAAATAAAAAATATGGTGTTCTATCCGGTCCTCCTTTCGTGCATGAAGACACCTTGCAGTTCGATGTTGGAGGGCAAGGGGTGGGTTTTCAGGAGGGTCCAAAGGGGAGAGAATGCCGAGAATGGATACAAAGCTAGAGGGTGGTGCGATTTGTTTGTAGTCTCTCAGGAAAGATGCTGCAATCTTGCGTTCAGAGCATCCCTTCGCTGACTGACTGTAGGAGTGCAGGGTATCGGGTGACGTCATGAGGATCAGAATACATCCCTGTCAAATGTTGAGAAAACGAGCCGCCCCTCTCGTAACGCGATTGGATGAACTGATTTTCTCCGGCAAACCGAGTATAAAATGAATGTCACATGATAAAGAAAGAGGAGGTGTCGGGACAACATGGTCTTGGCTAGAAGGGACACAGCTTTTGTAAAATGTACGTCAAAAGTTGATACTTTTTTGCATTTTAGCTAACCCTAAACCTTTTCCTAAACGTAACCTAATTATCCTAACCTGCTACGTTAATTATCCTAACCTGCTGCGTAAATTCTCCTAACTTGTTACGAAAAGGTACATCTGACAAAAACTGTATCCCATCTAGTCAAAATCGGACAACTAACCGAGGGTCGCGCTGCACAGGAAGATGTAAAACATAGGCTGATTTGGAGCCGTAACTTCTAACTGCGCTCCACAGTGCCTCGTTCACTGAAATTCGTACTGTGAACATTTTCTGAAAAGAAAAAACCGCCACGATGAAGTGGCTTAGTCATAAAACACTATTATTATTATTATTATTATTATTATTGTTGTTGTTGTTGTTATTATTATTATTATTGCCTATTACGGTAGGCCTAATTATTAGAGTGTAGGCCTACATCCTATAATTTCCATAACAGCGTTGACTAAATAGTTAAAACAAACATATTCTAAAATAAACCCTTTTTAGAAACTGCTATACCTATAGGAAAGGAAACTGGGAAGTACTACCTGTGTGGACTCCAGCCATCTCCGTGTGGAAGAAACCAAATGGAGGGATCCTCCGTGCGCGCGAACTCCCCGAGCCGGGCTTTACTGCCTCTCTCACACACAAACACACTTTGCCGGCACACACCCTCTCTCCCTGTTCAGTCCTAGACAGATGCTGAGCGCCCTTCGAGCTCCTCTAGATTCTCGTCAAGGTGACATTGCATCGACCGTGGCCTACACACAAGCAGGGATCTCACACGATTTCAGATGGTTGTGAAATTCCAAACGGTGAGCCATTTCGGTTTTCTCCGAGAATACGCCGCTTGATGTGTGGAAATACGTGGCAAATCCAAGGCAGATGTATAAGACAATTTATTGGACCGCCGGACTTCGGATAAGAAACAATTGCGCAGTATCCCACTTTCTTTCAGCCCATGGTGTGGACCTATAATGTCCAGCAATCTTTTTAGTGGTTGGCTGCTACAGTAATATGGAAAATGTGAAGTAGCTTAGCCCATAAGCCATTTTTACAATGATGCATACTAAGAACATTCTTTGGGTTTTATAAGGCAGGATGTATAGGAGCTAACAGATGTTGTAGCCTAGACTATTATGAAGCTTATCTGGGTGTAAGGTTGCCTAGATTGCCTAATGGAAAATGTATGATAATATTTGTACCTGTCGATAGAAAGGCTGATTATTCAGGCGATGCACAGCACAACATATGATATACATGTATTATATGATATATGACAAGGTTTCCATTGGTTCCTCATCTCAGGGGCGGACTGGGACCAGAAATTGTCTCTGGCATTTCTAACACACTGGACAATTGTTTCCCCCCTTGAGGCCCACACAATTTTTTTGCTTGACGCCTCCACACCAGCCAATTTTATTCCTTGAGGCCGCCATTATTAGCCAGATATTTCTAATTTTGCACAAAAAACCCAAGTCAGACAGGTCCATCAGGCTAAAAATGTATTGTCTGTAATTTGGAGTAGCCTATCTTGCCTTTCTCTGTGACAAAAGGGCGGCTCTTATAGGGGTCCAGGCCAGGGAGACCCACTTTTAGAATGGTTACTTCCAGATGAGGCGGGGTGGCGGACAGGCCATCTGGCATTTGCCCAAAATGCCAGATGGCCTGGCAACTAGATCCAATGCCACCATTAAAAGAACTGGTAACTGCAGTGCATTCAGAGTGATATGGCACATATTATGTGTAGGTAAGCCACCAATCTCTG